CATTTGAGCCAACTATGATGAGTTAATTATCATTATGATGATTTTTTAAACATTATATATATATATATATATATTATGCACTTGGTTACCTCAATTTGAAGATGTTACTAAGCCAAGATAAAAGCTTTACTTGAAACCAACTGCATATCTACAGATACACGCTTCTATGAATATACTTACAGCTCTTACCTTGTTGACTGAGAAAAGAGGACAGTTGATCCCAATTCCAATTTGGTCATCTCGATTAGTTCTTTGGAAGCTCGAAAATTCTAAAGCAAATATCTGCACTTGGTCACATCCATACACCTCCAATTTTTTCAATGATGGCCATTCAGTATCAACCATTTGACAATAGAAACCCTTCAGTTTGGGTAGCCAATAAAGATCAAGGTGTGTCAATTTTGGCAAGACTAACTTAATGGAAGTTTCTACCACAGTTGGCTCAGTGGTTATTTGAGATTGTGATTGGATCGCACCAAGCCCTTGTGAATCGACTATCTCTTCTAGCGCAATGCAACTCCATATCTGCAGCACGTCTAGTTTCTGAAGCCTTTCCAACATGGTTAACGAGAAAATGTTCAATAGCTTTCCACACGAATTTACACGAAGGTAATTTAGTTGGCAAAAAGAATCTGCATCAAGTTGGTCTTGCCATATCTTTTTCAAGCTCTCCATAGACTCAATCACTATTTCTTCTACACTAGGGAATGCCACCTGAAGAATTCACCCGATTGCATTAACAAGAAAACAAAATCAGAGGGATAATTTAATAAACGAATTCTGGAATCTAAAGTTTTAAAAATGTAGAAGATTATGTGATGAAACTACAACATATAGAAGCAAAAACAAGGGAAATGACATGCAAAGACATTTGAGACAGTTTAACTTAATTTTGGCAATCAATCAATTTTCTTAAATTGAGTAATCTTATTTTAATTTTTAAGTAAGGAAGTGGAAGAATTTCAAGCCACAATCATTTAAAGTAATTGACATATCTAAAAGGCATAAAGAAGAAATTACCTTTGCGTCAAATAGAGGAAGTGTACCAGTGTCAAAACTAGAGCTTGATGAGATGAACGTCTTTAATACAGGGCAGCACATGATCAAAAGTTGCGAAAGGCAGGGGAATTTGATGTAATTGCCGTGGCAGAATCTTTCTAGTTTTGGAAGGCCTTGTATCTCTAGAATCCTCAGTTGAGGGAAAATCAAATTCCCATTTTCTTC